GGGGCTGGGGCTTACAATCTACAGGAGCATAAAAAACACCAGTCCAAAACCCTTGAGTTTTCTTCCCCAAATATGCTTCACTCTCAGTCTTCCCTCAGTAAAGATGCCCCATCCCCCCAGCTGCTCAAGTGGAATACGAAAGCCATCCTTACTCCTCCCTCATTCTATCCCCAACATCCAGTTTATCACCGAGCCCTATTCATCCTCCCTCCAAAACATATCTGGAATCAGTTTACTTCTATCGTCAATGCCACTGTCCTAGCCCAACTGCAATGGCCTCCAAACTGGATTTCCTCTGCTCTCCATCCTCTTCAATCTACTCTTCACACAGCAGCTAGAGTGACTTTTAAAAATATAAACAGCATTAGGTCATTCCTCTGCTTCAAACTCTCCATGACTTCCCATTTCTCATAGAATTTCCCTTGCCCCAGGATATCAGCATGATCTGGCCCCTGCCTAACTCTCTGAACTAGCTTGCACCACATTCCTCCTGGCTGGTCATGCTTCTGTCACACTGGTGGCCTTTCACTTTCTCTCCCCTCTAAAGCCACCACACAGGGCCTAGCATTGCTCCCCCTCCTCCGGCCAGCCTCCAGTCTCAACTTACCTGCTGCCAGTTCTCAGGTTTCAAATGTCACCTCCTCAGAGAGAGCCCCCCAACCTGAAATAGTTTCCTCCAACCCCTATTCTGTTATTTTCCATCATTGCTTATTTAATCTATAAATTTGTATTAAAAAAAACAGATAAATGATGAAGTCAGATCGCAGAAGAAAGAATGCCTGGTGGAAAAGTAGAATTATTCCATTCTGAAGACAGCCTGGAACCACTGGAGGATTCTGACCAGGAGCAAGACTCAGAACTGTGCTCCAGACTTGAAGACAAGAGAGCTTACTCCTAGAAGACTGTCCTAGCCACATGAACTAGGCTTAAAGGGACAGTCTTACCTGAACATGTCTTCTTGTCTTCATTCAAGGTGTAGTCATTGTAACAGTCGCAGTGGGAAGAGGCGGCCCTGTCATTCACACACAAATGTGCTGGCAACATGAGAGCCCAGAACACACTTGTTACGAACTGACCAGGAGTGGGGCAAGAAATAAAATATTCACAGATTACAATAGGAAACCAAACCCAGACTTCTGGGAGAAAAGAACCTTTGGTTTGGTCCCAACAAGTACAGCAAATGACTCCTTCAGTCATCAACGAAGTGTTTTCAGAAGACCTGTTTCCCTTTTCCCTAACATCTCTTTAGCCTCGCCTTTTATTGCATATACCACTTTCCTTTTTATTTCTTGTAGAAATCTTGGATACCTTCTTTTCTTCCTACCTACAGCACTGGGGCAGCACTGAGTCTTGATTCTATTCCAGAACTTACCTTTGGCGTTTCCTGATGACCATAAATGCCTCCAACATCTCCACCTATACAAAGGATTATCTTCGCCATCACCAAAAATAACTTATTAGGGACCTACCTGGCCTGCACCTGGAGCTAAATTGATGCTGCCCAAAAAAGACTGTATTGACTGAGGGCCTGCCCTTGATACATACACAGTGGGACAGAAAACAATGGCTTGCATGCATGTGCACACACGCGCACAGAGATAGAGACAAAAATAACCGCAATGACAGTGATGACGATGGTGTATGACTGGATAAGGAAGCATTTATTACCTGTCACAAGTAAGTACGTTACAAGGAGCAAGGGCTTCCTGGGAGACATAGGTTCTTCCTCGGCCACTAAAGGAGCCAAACTACTTTATCTGTTCCCCTCTAACTCTTCTCTTAAGTGTCATTCCATGCTCAAAACCCTTCCGTGGCTCACTATTGCCTACAAAACACTTTTCATGAAACATATGGCTCTATGTAATCCACCTTCACAGTGATATTCCCCTTCACTACTACAATTCAGATGTTTGCAGCAAAATAGCAGAGCATTTCATTTTCCCCTCATCCCAGTTTAGCAGCCGCTCCAGAAATAACAAGCATACAAGTCTGCAGCCTCCGGCCCCTGATCTGCGGCTCCACATTTAATTTACAAACCTTCCCACTACCCAGCAAGGGGTAGGCAGGTCATTGCAGGGGGTCTGGCCCATGTCATGCAGCCAGTTTTAGAATGGCATTCATTATTAAAGTGTGAAAAATACTAACTGCCCCATCTTGTCTTTTTCTTCTATCTCCTTTTGCTCTCCTGTGCTTTCTACCCTGAGATGGTATGGCTTAGTGTTTGAGAGAATGTGTCACCACCAGAGCAAGTACCTGGATTCAAATCCTGGCTCTGCTACTCAGCAATCAGGTGACTACAGGCAAGTCACTTAATCTGTTTGTACCTCAGTTTCCTCATAAAGTTTCTGTGAGCAGTAAATGTGTGACAGCATCTAAAATGCCTAGAACTGTACATGGTACACAGTCGGTGCTAACAGCTCCTGTTACCTGGAAGTGTTGCCTGGAGTTGTCTGCATTAACTGAAAATCGTCTTTGATTTCTTTTTTTAATAAAATGTTCCATTTTTATTCTATAATATCTGTTAGTTTATATCTAAATTTGTTTTTGTTTCCTTTTTCCAGGCCTTCTGTTTAAAGGCCTCAGTTTAAAGTACCAAGTGGGAATATTTGTGATGGTTTGAAATGTGTGACCATGAATCCTCTCCATCCAGGCGATTTAGTCCCTCCACCCTTGAACAAACCAACACAAGCCACGCCCCTTGCCCTTGCTGCTCTCCATCTAAACCTCCCCTACCTTCCAAGGCCCACCTCCAGCCCCAACCCCTCTGTGTCTGGTCCAGACATCCTGCCTCTGCCGCCCTTAGTACCACCAGTCCCTGACTACTTAGTCCCTGCTTCCTTAAGGTGCTGGTTCTCTTTGCACCCAGAGGCAGAAGCTTCCACTTTATAGCCCCACAGTGCTTAGCACAGTCCTGGGAATCAATAGATGCTCAGTACTCTTGTACTGATCTCATTTTTTTAAAAAAGGGGACTTGGTGATATTCCACTTCTTTTAATCTCTCTTGAAAAGATCAAGAGAAATGTAATGTATCTCCTCAAGGGAGAAGAAAATACACATAAAACCTAAAAAAAATATTGAGTATGCTAAAACGAAACACCACTCAGAGAGCTAGGAGCTTCTCTAAGGAGTGTTTGTACATTATAAATGCCACCCTGTTCTGCTAGTGAGTTTAAATCATACTAATGAGGATTAGCAGTGCTGGCATGGGCTCCCTCACCAAGTCGTAAGGCTCAGATTGACCTAAGATTGATCATCTAGAAACTGTCAGGAAAGGACTTGCTTCAAACTTACTGGAAGATTTGTGTGGGTCTAATTCAGTTGTTTACAAAGTCTCCTTTACTGAAACGATCCAGCTTTAAGATTAACTCTACAGAAAAGTTACAGGCCAAGTTTTAATTGGAAAAAGATCACTTCAGCCTATCACACCAAATAGTTACTGTCCAACTGACTTCCTTTGAAGTTTCCTATTTGCTTTACAGAGCTATAAAATTTTCCTGAATAAGGACCCTGCATTCAATTAGCTTTTCTCATATCCCCCACTGCCTACCCATTTCCAAGTAATTGTCTGAAGTAAGCTATGTTTGCAAAACCTAATGAGCTCGTTGCCCTCTGAGCACTATGTCTTGGTCTGTAAACATGGTAGAATGTCTGAGGCCCGATTCTTTACATTACCTTTAAGAATCTTCTCTTGGTAAATTGCAAGTTGGTTTCACCACAGTAGAAAGAGCCACATGTGAAAGAGTTTACTGAATGGACTTTACCTGAACATGTTTTTTTTATCTTCATTCAGAGTGTAGCCCTCATAACATTCACAGTGGTAGGATCCAGCTCTGTCATTCACACAAACGTGCTGACAGCCATGTGTACCAAGCGCACACTGATCTTGAGCTGCCAAAGTCCAGAAGGAAAGAAATTAAACGTGGAAAAGTCTTTTATTACCCATATAGAGAAATCTTCTTATTTGTAGGTAGAAATGCAGAAGCAGAAAACTGATTAGAAACCATTCAAAGCCATCAGTCATATTTGTTCTTACCAATAAATTAGCTGAGTAAAACAAAATCCTACACACATAATATTATACTTCGATCGTCCTCAACTCATGTTCACAATCATTTTTACTGAGTTTTCATTATCTGAGTATCTCATAAATACTTTGTAAAGCATTCCTTGTAGGTTTGTTGTATTTATGCTGAATCTGAGGGATTCCAACTGTTGTGGGGATAATTATACTAGATTCAGAAAGACATTGAACTAGAGTTTGAAGAAACCATAGCTCAACCCTCTCTTGTAAGAAATAAGGAAACTGAGTCCAAAGGAGACCAACTGACTCAGAGCAGCATCAGAATTCAAGACCCAAATTGCCACTCAGTGATCTTTTCTCTGTACTGACATATTTTTAAACTATTTTTTAATCTTTGAACTGCTCATTTTGAAATCACTTCAGGCTCACGAAAAAGTTGCAAAAATGGTACAAAAAATCCTGCACTTCACCCCATTTCCCCAAATGTTAACATCCTATACAAGCACAGTGCTATTATCAAACCAGAAAATTAGGACTGATACAATGCTATTAACTAATCTATAGACCTTATTCAAGTTTTGCCAATGGTTCCACCACTAACGTCCTTTTTCTGGTCCAGGATCTAATCGAGGATCACAAAGTGCATTAAGTTGTCACATCTCCTTAATTTCCTCCAATCTGGGACATTTCCTCAGCCTTTCTTTGCCTTTCATACAGTGACACTTTTGAAAATTACTGAAAAATTATTTTGTAGAATGTCTCTCAGTTTGGGTTTGTCTGAGGCTTCCTCATGATTCTGAGTTTTCAGCAAGAATACCACAGATGTGTTGTTGGGCCCTCAGAACATCATGTCAGGGGATCCACAACATCACTATGTGTCATTGCTGGTGACATTAATTTTGCTCACTTGGCTGAAGTGGTGTCTACCAGGTTTCTCCACTATAAACGTACTGTTTTTCCCTTTATAAGTAATAAGTATCTTGTGGAGTGTTATGTAATTTTAATCTACTAAAGTGTCTTTAGCATCTGGAAAGGACTGTTAGGGCTGGGTACAGAGAAGGAAATGAACAACACACTCACACATGTGGGTCATAATACACACATGCTCCTGTTTCTAACGTTTCTAATAAGAGGTGGGAAAAGCCCAAGATGGCGAGAGAGGAAAAGAGACCAAGCTCCCCATCGATGGACCCCCCCTCCCTAACACTGGCTAGGGAGGCAGGCAGACAGGGAAGCAATAGTAGAGCCCCCTCCCCCACTTACCGGAACACGTTTTCCTGTCTTCATTTAATGTATAACCCTCGTAGCACTCACAGTGGTAGGAGCCCGCTCTGTCGTTCACACAGATGTGTTCACACCCATGAGTGTTAAGAGCACACTTATCAATAGCTATCAAAAGATGATCAGGACAAATGTCAACATATCGGAAATGTGGTAAATAAATGATTATGGGCCATACCACACACACACACACACACACACACACACACACACACTGCTAATGAAACAAGACAGACAGGCACAAGAAGAAGACTGCCAGCCTAGAGGTTAGGAACTGACGACCTCTGATCCTGGCTCCTTCACTACCAGGCCCCATGATGTGGATTATCCTTTCCCCTTCCTTAGGTCTCAGTTTCACAACCTATAAAATGAGTATGTTGAATTAAACAATCTCTAAGTTTTCTTCCTCTCAAAAACTTTTTTCTAGGATTTTACAAAATGGACCTAATTCCCATTCTTCACTGACTATATGTGATGGCTCATATGGCCGATGTGTGAGAACCTCCCTAAATTTTCTTCCATTTCTAGATTCCACGAGTGTCTATAGTCACAAAGGCTAGAGTAGCTTGTATTTAATTAATTATTTAATTAAAAAAATCCAGTAAAATATTCAAATCCTCAAAAGGACCAAGAGTTTGGGCCCCTTTCCACACTAGCCCTTTTCCCTACTGGCCCTTCTCTCTAAAACTAGTAATAAGTCCCGTCAGAGGCTGTTTTATGTATTATCTCACTTTTCTTCTCCTGTTCCCTCTCAGGGAAAATCGTTGACAACAGAAAACCAGCCAAAAGGCAGTGAGGAGAAAAGCATAAAGCCAGTCTCCAGCCCAGATAGTGAGTCCCTGCGTCAGTCACAGTCAGCCGCCATCCCCTAAGCAGGCCTCACCTGAACACGTCTTCTTGTCAGCATTCAGGGAATAGCCTTGGCTGCACTCACAGTGGTGCTTGCCTCCCCCGTCACTGACACACACGTGCTGGCACTGGTGTGTGCCAAGCACGCATGGGTCCAGAGCTGTGCAAAGAAATTTATAACAGTCAGTGTTGACACGTAAGAAGCATTTTAGATAGTTTCTCTCCCATGTCAAAAACACATTGCTCTCTGGGTTCCTCTCCAATGCTATCTTTAGTTCACTATAAAAACTGGCTCTTTTCCTCTGTCCCTGGCCTATTACAAATACCACTCTTAGTAATGTTTAAATTAGTAACTAGTAATGTTACTAATTTAAAATCATAGATCTTGCGGTTGACTTCTCAAAGGATAAAGGGAATTTTGAATTTGGAGGCCTAGCCAAACATTTACAGGAGGCAGGCAATTTGATATTTTATTCAGCATATCCACCTGACCAGAAAAAAAGACTTTTGCTTCCCAACAAGAAACAGGGAGAACAATAAAGTACTTCCTGAAGTTCTATGAGCTAGTGGTCCCACAGCAACCAGAACCCAGATTGCAAGGGTTCTATAGTTGTGTCTAAACAGAATTCACACTCAGACATTCCTCTCAGCCTGGAACCCACTCACTCTTGGGCAGCAATATGTGTTTGAACATGCAAATGGTGGAGGGCAATGCAGGTAACTGTCTTCTGAAAATGCAACATGGGTTCCTGAACTCAAATGTATTTGCATGCAACCTCAGGGGCTCTCCTATCTGCCAGGAGAATAAACTCATATGCTATACACAAACCGGTAAAAAGAAAAGGAAAAACACAATAAATAAGATTATGTTAGCTAAACTGCATCTTCATCTTTTTGCTCCTGGAGTCATTTCTATCTCTTTGGATTTTTTTTTTTCCTAGTGACATGTTTTGATAGAAGAATCAATGAATGGAGTCATTTCTGAGAAACCAAGGAGGCCTTTTGGAGGAGGCCGGCACCCTCATGGCAGGTTACCCAGCCTCCACTTTTTGGCAACAGGATAAGGCTAATATTTTCCTAAGAAGGGCCTTTTCATGGAATAATCTTTCCAGCCCGTTGACTACAACAAGCTACCCCTCAGTCTTTTTTCCATAGAGAGGACATTTTTCCCCAGAACAAGCAGGCCTTTTGTACCAGAATGAAAAGATGGCCACTCACCACTTGTTACTGTATGTCCTTCAACCCCCAACCCCAGGTGCTAGCTTTGAGACCCAGCCTTGCCACAGACTAGTATCTTTATGCAAAAGCTCTCACCCACAAGCACAAGGGGTTTTCCTGGGAGAAA